ATATTGCAATTAAATTGCGATTAAACGCAAAAAAATATTGCGATTAAACGCAAAGTTTTGCCTTTAAACGCAAAGTTTTGCAATTAAACGCAATAATTATTGCGATTAAACGCAATAAAAAATATTTCTCTCTGTGAACTGGCCAGTGATACCAACACTTAGGGATATTGTCTTAATTCTGTAAAAATTGCATTAATTTTTAAAATACAATAAATATGATAAGGATCCCACCTTAATATTTTCTAAAATTTTCTGGATGTATATAATATTACGACTTACGTGTATATATCATGTATACGGCAAAAACATTTCACACGAAAATATATTAAAAATCTTATTTCATCTTAAAGTTATTGAAACATTATTATATTATATATTACACTGTATATTGAAACAATATTATATCATTCTTGAAAGGTTTGATTGACACATCCTTCAACTTTTAATAATTTTAATTTAATTCCAAATTAAGAAAAGTGGCAATTTTGTTGTGTATATTAATAATTATTAAGTCTCAATATTTTTTAGAATAAAAATATTTTTAATATGTATTTGTGTGAAGTGCTATTGCAATATAAAAATCGTGATATTATACAGACAATTTGAGAAAATATTAACTTCAAATCCGTGTCTATTCACCTTTGAGTGCTGAATGGCGTTTTTCTGCTAATTTTTAGTCCGTTATTTCCCAGTCATGAGGAAGTACTCTGTAGATATATCGACTACGTATAATCAGTTATTTAAACAAATTTCTGACGTCATCTTTTGATAATTTTTTTTATCCTGCAGTCCAAAAAGTTACCTGTACATGTAGGTGTCAAATAAATTCAATTTATTGGACATCAACAAGTTACATTAAAATGAGAACAAAGGGCGAGATACATAAATTTATTAAACAGCACTGAAGGCAATGATAAATCTAACAAATTAATATGTACGTATACAATATTGAAAATTAGTAGCGTATTAAAATTGTAAATATTTCACTTAATTAAATCCTTTTGGAAATGGTACAAATAATCCACAATGATTTGAATATCTCGCTTGAAATATTGCAAGAGAATTTGTGACCCCGATTATAATTTTCCCAAACGAATTGTTTATTACTAATAGCTAGATTCATTTCACAACAATTGGGACACAAATCATTCGCGGGATTTTGTAGACACATACATGTAAAAAAAAATCAAAAGCATGTTTTTTTAAACACAACCTAGGGCTTTTTTCTTTTTTAAGTATCCATTTTTCCGCCTTTAACTATTCCGTTCATGAAATTGCAACTGAATTTGTATGATTTTTCGTTCGGAGGTTTTGGGACAAGTTGCCTATAAATCCAGCATAGAAATATTTATCATACAATTGAAATTCAAAATTATCGAAAATACAAAAATAAAGTTTCAACAGTTTATAAATCTGTAGATCTTCCAAATAACAAGAAAGATACATCAGAATGAAATTTTTCTGAGGTCAGGAAGGAAGCAAACGATTGAAAAACATTAAAGATTTTTTGTCAATTTATTCGAATTAACAGATTCTCCAAATAAGGGTCAAAACCCACACATGGTCACTTAGCAAATCCCCCACCATTGTGAAACAGAAACAGCACTTAACCGGTTAAACCCCATCGGGTGACCTGACAAGCTCGGATTCGGCGTGACAAACTCCTAATGTCACAGGTCATTTTGGGGAAGGTTATTCCATTGGTGTTGAAATGCTGAAGCTGGTTCTTGGAATTTGGAAGGTAGACCAAGTTCTTTATCCGGACAGGTTTATCAAATCTGTCATATACATTCTCACAAGTACTTCCATTTATAATTTTTTTTTTCATTTTATCCTATATCCTCCTTCTTTGACATAAAGCAAAAGTAAAATGATAACAGAAATTTATTTCATACTCTTTGATTTCTACTAAGTTGATGCTGTATATGATAAATTCTTGCATGTGTTGCCCTCTGTATTTTAGATCGTGGATCCTGTTTCAGTGATTCTTGGTAGGATTGTAAAGCCCCGTGAAAGTCCCCAACAACTTGGTGACAGATTCCAAGTATCTGCCAGGATATGTCTCTGTGGAATGGTGGTACATATCTCCCATCATCGTAAATGAGCAGTGTGTGAAGGTCTGTCAGTGACTGTAGATACTGAGATCTATTCCCAAGGCGGTAGTTCGATAAAACAGACAGCATTTCTACCAATACAAATACTGGATAAAGTATAGCTTCAGAATGCGGTGATTTTAATTTGTTCTCTTCTTGTTCTAATATTAATTCTTCAATGTATTGTATCCCAAAATAAAAATTAATATCCACAACCCAGGCGGCTTTCATTTTTCTAGACAAAGACAAATTACTTATTTCTTCACTATATCTGTTTCTGTCTACTGGTTTGGCGTAATACAAAATAAAGTGTTCTGAAAGTCTTCGTTTCATCAGATTAGAAACACCAAGTGCTTTATTGTATCTACCTGTCCTGTAGTAATAGAATGCTAAATACAGTGAATGGGAGATGGTACCTATCCCTGCCGACAATTTTAACATGTTGCACAGCATTTTTCCCAAATTATACATTTGTTTATTTTTATAATGTGATGAATACTTTACAATCACAAAAGGGGTCACTGCAAGAACATCAGCTTTACGCAACTGTAATGTTAATGATTTGTAAGGTGACAGTGACGAATTTAACAATGTGTCCACAGATTTTAAAGTTAAAAATAAGTAAAATTTTTCTAAATGAATTTCGTTTAATTCTTCTAGTGTACACAAATCTTTACATGCACATCCAATTTTGTGACATATCCCTGCAGTAAATTGAATCCTACATGGACGGCTGAGGGCTGGCTCTAGGATAGATCTGAGTGTAGAGCTAAGCAGAAGGGTGGGCAAGCCCATTCTGTAATACTGGTTAAGTTGATCTAATAAAGACTCACGTGCAATGCCAAAAATCTTGTTCATAAACATATTGTTCTGTGGAATAAAGAAATTGGCAAATTTGCCACGATTGACACACTGAACGAGGTATTTAAAGCACATCCAAAAGCATTCCAGTAAATTGTTAGGACTCCAATTCATATGTCCTACCTGTATTAACCAGAACATTGTTGTCTTCATGAAGTAAGAACACAGTAATGGTTCTTCCACGTTCTTGTTGATTACGTCTTTGAGGAATATTTTTAGGAGTCCATAGCATATAAACTGGGTATGATTCATAGTGAACACTAGTTTTTGTTCGGCAAGAGAAAAGGACAACCTCCAATCTAGCGTATATGCAATAGTAGAGCTTTTACTTCCAATAGCCACACAGTGGTAACTATCGTTTAAGATATCTTTAAGCACACTTGCAGGAGGCCATTACTGTCTATGGCATCTTTCAGTCCAATGATTTGTACCACGTGGCCAATATTTGCAGGCAAAACAATACGCCCAGTCAACTTCAGATTCATCCAGGTAACCACTAGAACATGGACCATGTTCATGAGCATTCTGGTATTTCATAGATCTAAGGGCTAGCTGCCTCCAGAATAAGCTTGAAATGTAAATCCGATCATTTAAAGGAACGAGTGAACAGCAATTGTATCTAGGACGTGTAAGAAGCTGTAGTCTGACAAATCCAGGTGGTGTATCCGTGTCATCCATGAGAACAATGTCAAGATTTGATGAAACATAATCCCTCAACTGAGAAATGTCATTGATCAAAAAATAACGGTCACACCTCCAAAACATGTAATCCCAGTCAGATGTTTTAAACCTGAATCCTTCTCTTCTACTACCGCTTAACATTCGTCTTCCTCTACATTTATGTTTACCGGTATGTATATTTTCCTTTATCATGTCGTCCATGTCCATCAAGTCCCTTCTGATGGTCACTTCTGTCGGTGTCCTAATCTTAGCACACAGACCAACATACAGGATCTCTGATAGACGGGGATTGTGGTCCATTCTGTAAATTAAGCAAGAAGAAGGGTAAGGACGCAAAATAGTTTACGAACATAAAAGAAAAAAAATTACTTTTTAATAAAGGATCTCTGAAAAATGGGAAATATGGTTCAATCTTTAAATGAAGAAAGAAGAATAATTAAGCAAAATAGTAAAGATTTGAGAAAATAAATTTACTTAAAAAATCATTTTTAGTGTGGTTATGTTTTCTATGAAATAAAAATTTTAAAATGCCTACTTACATGTAGCTTTTATGTGTTTTAAATATTGAATTTCTTTTCACATAATATTAAGGCTTTAAATTATCTCTTTAAATGTGAAATATGAATTTAAATGTTTAAATTGAAGAGATTTAAAATAGCTTGTTAACATGTGCTATGTAAGTTTTTGATGCAAGTGAGTTAATATACACATATACCATTGATGGCAACAGAAACATTTTCGACATGTTTACCGGCCGGTATTTTAAAACTAAGTTTCAAATTGTTTAAGTAAATATTATTATACTTTGAAATTATATTTTTAAAAATGATATTATAAATCATTTATAAAATTTGACGTTAAAATTAAAGGTCAGCCAAGCTGAAATGCTTAAGCCTGTCTCGATTTCTAATGTTACCTCGCTTTTTAATATCTAATGCAAAAGACGCACACCTTTCATGAATTTAAAGGTGATCAGGATTTGTCGGCGAAAATCCACGATTTCCCGATTTCAATAATAAAAAAAACAGTTGGTACCTACATGTACACGTATATACATGTTTAAATTAAGTGAGCACTCGACTCACTAAGCAGCCATTGCCTTTCAAGATCAGTTTAAATCAACAAATGTCACTCACCTGAATTTAACAATTGTTAACAGTTGTTAATTTATATTGCTATCATAAAAGCTGTAAATTCCAAATATTTGGTAAAATACAATGAATCGTATTTTTAATTTCACGAACGGCCATAATTTGTTGTTAGCTGAAAAAAGGACTGTCTTCGTTCAAGGAAATACAAGAATGTGTAATCTTGTAGAAAACATCTGGTAACTGAAAAATTTAAAGTGTTCGAAATATAAATACTCCTGCTTTAATTTCACAGAAATTGACAAATAGGGAAATAAACAAATTTTGTTTGATCATAAGTTGTCCAATCATATCATTTAAGCGTTTCCCCATCGATGTGGAATTTTTTGTGTCAGAAATGTGTCACGATACTATTTAAAGACTCGATTCTAAAATCAGTTAAAGTATGAGTATTTTTCTTGCAATAAATATTTAAAGACACATTCATGGGATTTTTTATTTTAATGATATGTGAAAAATTAAAACAAAATTGAATTCAATTTGGAAAGTTTACATGAATAACATAAGTTAATTTCCTTGCTGCATTTTTTTTCGTGAATTAACACAAATGATTAGTTTCACGTTGTTAATAAAATGTACCTTTCAAAATTGATAATAAATTATTTTTTCGTCAATTACTTACTAGTAGTAATTTGATAGATTGTTTTGGTTATGGTAATATAAGTTTATTTCTTAAAGCTCATAAAAATTTAAGTTTATTGCATAAATCTGAATTACAGTACCGACCAGACCCAACCTGACACCAAAGCAGTCCCCGGGACTGCTTTGGGACCGCTGTGGGACTGCTCTGGGACTGCTCTGGGACCGCTGTGGGACTGCTCTGGGACCGCTTTGGGACTGCTCTGGGACTGCTATGAAAAGCAGTCCCAGCTGCTCCTGGGACTGCTTTCTGGGACTGCTTTGTTCACTCATGTGTGAAAAAGGTTCTGAGTGACATGATAGCTCCGCCCCCTTGTGTATTCTGAATTTGCAGGCTCCCTGTTGTTTTGTTTACTTGCAGCAGAGAGGAGTTTAAACTGTTTAATAAGCAAGGATTTCTTACATTCTTTTAATAAGTAGAGATTATTATAGTTAATTGATATTTTCAGGGACTGTATATTTACACAAATTAATGTGTATTTAGAATAAATTTAAAAAAAAAATAAAGTTAATAAATAAGGAATTCATGAGAAAATTTTTATCCCTAAAAATAAACTACAAGTTTATGAGAAAAAAATGGCTTCATGTGGGCCTTTTTTAATTATTTAATGTTAAATTATAATATGTACTCAAAATTTGCATTGGTACTATTTAGAAATAATCATTACAGTTAGATATAAGATTTTTTTTTTATTAAAAATGCTACATATTTGATAAGGACGACGCTAAAAAAGAGTATTCCATGTAACCCTCAAATAAAACCCAACAATTTATTAAATGACCATGAAATAAAATTATGCTACTATTCTCCCGTAACATAAACTATGTTAATAATCATTGGGGAATTAATGAATTACCGGTAGCTTTTAATTAATAAACATGTTATTAAAAGAGTACATGTATATTTATTTTTTTTAAAATGAAAATACCGGGAATTGTGATTTACTTCTTTTTTTGTTTTGCTAGTGTTTACCTGGCCGATTAATGTTTAAAAGATGGTATCAACACCCATCGTTTTAATCGCCTTTGGGCAGAAAAATCAATACATGTTATTTGGATATTTGGATATTTGTATCAGTGTTACACATCATTGAACATGCTGGTAAACAATGACCCTAATTTCACTTTATTTAATGCGAAAAAAATGTGATAAATAAAATGAGTATAAATTTCTTTCGGGATTAATTAATTTTGAACATAATCTGAAGCTGAAGCATTCTAGTGATTTACAGATGTACAATCTAACATTTACAAATTAAATTATGATTTAAATTTTTAAATTATAATTAAATTGACATGTCAGTAAAAATAATCATGACTGAAAAATAATACTTAGTTGGCAAAATTAACAAAGATTTTTTTTAAAAGCCATATAATGATAAGATCTATTTAAAGCTTCTTCTGGTGGAAAATATTTAGTTTTAATTTTCTGTATAAAAAATAGACATGAGAACCAGTATCAATCACAGAAGAATTATTAACATATCCAAGAATTGTGATTAGATATTCATGTTCAGTGTAATTCACATATGTGTGAAAGCCTTCTTCCTCCAATAAATATTATTAATAATTATTTTAATTTTTATGTGCGTACATGTTCTGTTCATAAATGACCTTCGTGTACATGTAAGGATTCCTGGCATACTACCCAGAATCAATTTCTACTGCCTTTTATAGTTCCATTGTTTATTGGAAATCTCATTTCTGAGTTAGCTCCGCCCATTATATTAATAAACCCCTCCCACTGGGACTGCTTTCTGGGACTGCTCTCTGGGACCGCTGGGACTGCTGGGACCGCTCTGGGACTGCTGTGGGACTGCTCTGGGACCGCTCTGGGACTGCTTTGTGTCAGGTTGGGTCTGGTCGGTACTGTACTATCTCCGAAAATTTGAAGACTACTCGCTATTACTCTTTTGTTACCAATGTAATGAGAGGCTCATTTCAAAGTCAAAATTCATATTACTCAACTTTTTAAAATGAAGAATACCTGAACGAAAATTTAAAAAAAATGGTTCACGTACCCTATATTTTGTTTTAGCCGATATTTTATTTTCATCGGTTTAAAATTCTTAGGCTTACTAGTATTTAGAATAAAAAAAAATATCGTAGCGCTATATTTTCGTAAGGTATATGTATGGCACGCCAAATTCACAAAAATGAGTTAAACATAGTTTCACAATCGATAAACTAGGTTTATCGTTTGTAAACTATAGTTTACGGACTGTAAACTATAGTTAACGACGTTAATCTATATTTTACATCTGTAAACCATAGTTAACGCGATAATCTATGTTTCACAACCGTAAACTATACTTAACACCGAAAACAATCATTTGCAATTGCAAAACATAGATTATCTGATAAATACAGTTTCACGATTTGTAAACTATAGTTTACAAACCGTTAACTATAGTTAACGATCTGATAGATATAGTTTCACGATTTGTGAAACTTTGATTAATAACTCTTAACTATAGTTTACGATTGTAAACTATACTTCACAAACGTGAATCTATGTTTATCAACAAAATCTATTGTTAACGATTTATAGATAAACTTAGATTAGCATTCGTAAACTATGGTTAACAACCGTTAAATATAGTTTTACAGATGAAAACTATACTTAACGAATCGTTAAATATAGTTTACGGTTTGTAAACCATAGTTTACAGTCGATAAACCTAGTTTATCAATTGTGAAGCTAGGTTTATCTCATTTTTGTGAATTTGGCGTGCCATATACCGTATAAGTGGAAATTTTAGGGAGACGCAAATTTAGCGATTT